CACTACGCCAACTGAACTACATACTCATCCTCATCCCAGGGAGATTTTTTTTTTTTTAATGTCTCTTGAGCTTTCTGGTGAGGTGGGGGAAAGGGAGGCTTGGCCAGTCAAAAACAAAAAACAGTCAAGCCCTAGCTGTGGTCTCCACCTGGAGCAAGGGGCCGGCTGGTGCTCTGTGGGGCTGTCCCACACACTGAGCCTCCTGTCTGACCACCCCTAGACACAGCCCTCTTTGGCTGGATGCTGCTTGCCTGTCAAGACTCCTTCTGCAAGGAAGCTTTCCTGGATAATGGGCCTCCATACTGTCTCCCTGGCTTCCCATCAGCATCTTCTCAGGCCTAAGTGTCTTTGCAGGTGTGCCCCAGTCCCCCAAAGCTCTGGGAAAGTCCTCAATAAAAATCTGTGGATAAAGCTGGAGCATGGTGGTGTGCCAAAAGACCGGCCAACCAACGACAAATAGTCCTATGGACAGGGGCTGAGCTTGGTGACATATACCTTTATTCCCAACACTTGGGAGGCAGAGGCAGGTGGATCTCTGGGAATCTGAGCTAGCCTGGTGTACATAGTGAGTTCCAGGCCTGCTATCAAGCTCTGCTCCAGTTCGCAGTGGCTAGTGTGGTGAACAGGCATATGGGTGGAGACCAGGCAGACCCTTGCTCCCCCAGGGCCCACTCTTATCTACTCTCTTTAGGAGAGAAAGCTCAGGGGGGAATCTGGGAAGCCAGGTAGTCACAGTGGGGCAAGGAGTGCCACTTCAAACTTGAACTCAGATCTGTTCTGGGCATAGTTGCTGAGCTCGGCTCCTTCCTGGGGGTGGGCGTTTTCTTGAACCTGGGTCCCAGGGTTGAGTAGCACAGGCTAGCACAGGTGGGTGGTGTGCCAATGGGAAGGTGGGGGACCTGAGTTGAAGAATGTGGGTGATCAGATCGGGGAAGGGAGGTGGGGTGGGGGGTGCGGTTGTGGTCCTGTGAGGGACAAATGGGGATTAGAGGCATGGAGCGATGGCCCTACAGCAGACTAAATCACATGGACCATTGGAACGAACCAAGAAAGAGACTTCATCCAGGTTCCCAGGCCCTGACAAGCTGATGATAAACAGATTTTTAAATAAACAGACCTCATTAGAGACACATCATCTGCTGGGAGAAAAATGATGGCCTTCCCCACAAAGGGGGAAACACGGGGAGAACCCCAAAAACAAACCAATACTATAGTTAAAAAGGAAATTGCGTTAATACAGATTGTTTTATTTAAAAAACCTTGACCTTGACTTCAAAAAATAAGTCTGAAGGCATCCCTTTTGTAAAGGCTGCTGGTGATTAGAGGCTGATCATTCCTCCGCAGGTTACTGTCCTGTGAACGTGGGAGGCATGGGAGTAATTCAAGGCTCCCTGGAGAAGGGTATGTTAATCTTTGCACGTCTAAAGAAACTTTAACCGATCACTAACTCGGAGGAAAGGAAAAACTGGACAGATCTCCTCCCTGCTTTTTTTTAGTTTTTTGTCCCCTTTAGAACTCCGCTCTCTTTGATGGTAAAAGTAGTAATATTTCAGCCTCCAAAATATCGGCAGTCAGTGAACTAAGGAAGCAGAGCCTGCAGGGAGTCTCCCGCCCATTAGACCCTTGGTTTAATTACTTAGCGCCTGCCTGGATGGGGCAGTGGGAACACGCCCTCCTGGCGCAGGTTCAAGAGTAAGTTATAAGTAAGAGGAATGATTATAGCCCCAATTAGCTAGCGAGCTGGGAGCCTTGTTCACAGCCTTGGGCCTTGCCCAGGCCTCTCTGCACCCCCAGCCCCGTTCCCTGCCCAGTACAGGGCCTCCTTCCCTTCTACCCACTGCAGGAGTAATCATAGCAAAATGTTGGCCAGCTCAGGCAGAGATTAGGGCAGGGCCCCAGGGCTCAGAAGGGCTTCTGGAAGGTCCTACCCGCCCCTTCTCTGTACGCCACTGCCTAGGGGCCCCTTCCCTAACTCCCCTGAGAAGCCAGAGGTAGGGGCAAGAGTTTGCCAGAGGAGAGCTAAGCATTGAGGTGGGGGCAGGAGACCTGGGCTTGGGGTCCAGGAATCCTCTGAGCCTGAGTGTTTCAGCTTGAGACCAGGAGTTCTCCACCATGGTGTGTCTGTAGGGCAGCGGCCACAGAAGACATCTCTGCCAGAACTGAGTGGCTGAGCCTTGCCCAGTTCAGTCCCAGGATTAGGAAGCCTTAGTCTTTGGGGCCAGGGTTTGGGGCTTCGTGACCTCCTAGCATGCCTCAGTATGCAGTAGGTGCTCAATAAATCGCTGTGAAATGAGTCTTCCCTCCCCCTTTCCCACTCTCTCCTTCTGTCACTCCTTTCCTTCCTTTTCCCTTCTTCCCTTTCTTTCCTCTCAAGACAGCTCTCATGTAGCCCAGGCTGGCCTCATGTAGCCCAGGATGGCCTTGAATTCACTATATAGCTGAAAATGACCTTGACCTCCTGACCCCCCAGCTTCTACTTCCCAAATTCTGGGATCACAGGTGGATGCCACCTGGCCATTTAACCTGGTGCTGGGGATAGAATCCAGGGTCTAGGTAGGTGCTAGGCAAGTGCTCTAT